CACGCACGCCTCCCCCGGGGCTGACTTACCCCTCCTGTGCGGTGCAGGGAGCTGATGCCCCTTCCTGCAGTACACCTGGTAGAGCAACTAGCGCACTTCCAGAATCGCTGGAAGTGGCGCTAAGCTGCGGGACTTTTGTCCATCCCCAGGAAGCCGACACTACCTCCATTTTCACTTGAGGTAAGTAGTGGGGCTTCTCGGGGGTGGGAGGGAAATGGGGGCGGGGTGGACAGGACGCCTCGCGATCAACTGGTTGAGGCCTCACGATCGACTGATCGATCGCGATCGACCTGTTGGTGACCACGGCAGTAGGTTGTATTTGATCATTCCAAACTTTTACAGAGTGACATAAGTGCCCATGAATTTGTACATGTGACTCCACTTCCCTCTTTATAATCACACTGTAACAATAAAAGCTGTGGCTACAGGAAGGATAAAATATAGCTGATTCCTAGAGCCCTGTGCAGCTACAAGATTTTTTATTTCATCTGCATCTGTATCTGCAAAAATGAGTCATGGATATTCGCATTCACATCCATGGATGTGAATACCCATAGATATAAATGGACATCCTCAAATTTGCAGGGTTCTAGATACAAAATTTGTATCCACATACACATCCGTATCTACAAAAATGAGTCATGGATACTCATTTTGAAATCTGTGGAGGTGAATATCTGCAGATATAAAGCAGATAGTACATAAGAATGAGTCATAATGAAGTCTAAACATTGTAACTTTTCATGGCTTGTTCCCTTTCAATTGTTACAAAGAGTGAAATTATCATTTTTAAAATGTTTTTTAAAAGAGAATAACAAATGTTGGGGGTTTTGAGGCATGATTCAAAACCCACTGAGTCACTGAAAAGTCTCACATTGATTTTGGTGGTTTTTAAGTCAGGTCTTTAAGGATAATGGAACATGCAGTGAAAGAAAAGGTTAAAAGAGAGACGAAAGATCACTGCCAATCCATTCTTTATCCTCTCACATTGATTTTGGTGGTCTTTAAGTCAGGTCTTTAAGCATAATGGAACATGCAGTGAAGGAAAAGGTTAAAAGAGAGACCAAAGATCACTGCCAATCCATTCTTTATCATTCCAATGTCTTATGCAGCCAAGAATGAGGCTTGTATAACACCTACAGAAAGATGTTATTGAGTAGACTGTAGACGTATACTTAAATCATACAAGGAAACACCTTTTTCTTTTGAGACAAGTTCTTAAGCAAACAAAAAGCAAACTGGAGTCAGATGTGCAATACTGGAAGGAGAGGCATTCTGTATCCAGGCTTTGCTGGGTCCAGCTATACAGCACAGGTATGATAAACTTACTCCCTCTCTACTGCTCTTTGAATATATAGATGGAATTCAATGTGATTGTCTTTGGCCTCCTGAAGGTTTTCTAAATAATGGAGCAGTGTATTCGCTGTCTTTTGTGTTTCAAGGATGAGTTCTATTTTTGAATTTTGTGATAGGAGAATGGGATAGGATTTCTTATAGGCTCCCACAAACCCAGGCATAATTCTGTAGATGATACCTGTTTATTGATATTGACAACTAGCCATAACTGAATTTTAAAGAGAAGCCCAAGCTTGTAATGTTCTAGCCAGAAGTCTCTGAACAATTTGGATCCCCTCAAAATATAATCCATAGATATAAATACAAAATAGATATAGGGAAATAAGTGACCGTATGTGTTTCACATACAGTTTTATCTATCTATCTATCTATCTATCTATCTATCTATCTATCTATCTATCTAGTTAAAAAAATGTCCTGTGGGACGACGGAGTAATGTCATCATGTCGTTCTGCAACCTGCCTGCCTCTTCTCTGACTCCCACCACCCCTCTCCCTAGCAGCCCGGCGGGGAGAGAGCCAGGACTGGCGTGCCACATCCCAGCTTCAGCCCGGTGGCCAGGGGGAGGGGGCAGGCTGGGGCTGCCTGGCTTTGGCCGGGCCCTCTCCAATGGTTGGGGGGAGAGCCAAGGCAGCCTACCCCCAGAGAGACATGGGTTGGCAAGTGTAGCAAGCAGGGGGCACAGCCCCTTAGTAAAAATAATTGGTAGGAGTTACATGGCTAGAAGAAATACTACACTAAAATCTATAGACTACTTCAAGCTTCACTGGATCCCACATTCTATCATTACTAATTTCTGTTTTCCTGCATCATTTAAAATATTCTTACATTTTTATTAACTTCTCCTTTTTGTGCTCTAATCCATAATTTTCTTCTCTACATGAAGCATGGCTAGAAGGCATAAAAGAAAGTCTTTTATGGACAAGACATTCCTGTCCTTCCAGAGCCCTAACTCTATTATTATTAACAATTATCAACTGTTAGAAATTTTACATTAATGTAGGGATGCCTCTAATTTTTGAAAATGCAGATGGAACTCAAACAACTATTTTTCTATTATTGAAACTATTTCCAGAACATTTTAACTTTTTTATAGTCTTAAATCATGCGATTACAAGACAGGTTTTTCAGTGGCACCTAAGATAGTTAGGAATCTTTAGGCACCATAGGAAACTCTAGTCAAAATCATCTACAATTTCTAACTCATTTCAAAATTTGCTCTAACTGGATAGATTCTCTTATAGCATATGGAAGTTTTAAAGTCCCTCTTTCCAACAGCCTCATAGTTGAATGGGTATTGCAAAGACTCATTAAAAACAAGATGAAATAATTTGTAGGGTGACCATATTTCCCTATGCTGAATATGGGACACCGAGTAAAATTACTCATATTCAAGTGAGTTCAAGAGCATTCAATCAGAAGTAAGCAGTACACACATTCAAAGTTACATCAAGTTGACCGTGTCCCTGTTTAAAGAAATACTGCATAGCTGGGTTCTTTTTATTTACCTTCTCACCTTAAAGGCTTTAATGGTCACACTGGGAGAGGTAACACAAAGAGAGGTGACACACATGCCTCTCAACCCATCTCAAACACAGGAGGTTAATCGACTGATACAACAAACTCTGTCCTGTGATCCCTGCAGCCTTCCATGCCTGGCTGGCCTGCTGGACAGGACGTATCTGCCTCTCCTGATCCCTGGTGCTGCATTCAGGCAGAGGCATGCCGGGTCACATTCCTCCTTCTCCACCCCCAATTTCTACCATGTTTCACACCAGAATGTGGCCAGCAGCAGCCTTTCAGCATTGTGAGGGAGGGAAGGGCCGGGAGCTGCTTCCAGCTGGAGAAGAAGTAGAAGGAGGGGAAAAGATACTTTTACAGAGCTCATCTCTTCTCTTCCTTCCACATGGCCCTTCACCTCCCCACTTGATGCAGCTTGACACTTCTTGTCCACACAGTATTAAAAGGCAACTAATACCTCCAGGCCACCCACTTAACCCAGCCCCCTCTGGTTACAGTGCAGGCAGGAAGGGGTTAAGCCTTCAGCAGGGACCAGGGAACCTGCCTACAAGGGCTTCAGCAAACAGGATCAGAGAGGCAGCTCAGTACTGATGTGACTGAAAGAACTGGCCCTTACTCCTTCTGGGCAGTATTCAGGGCAGGGAGCAGACTAAGAAGGTGCTAAATCCCTTCCCAGTGGCTGTAGTGGAGCTTGTAGGATTGGGGCAAGAATAGGTTGGAAATCCCCCCTTCCCCATGGCTTCAGAGCTTAGCTGAGAGGCTTCCCCAGGCCAGTGCTATGTGAGGCTTTGGCATGTGTAGGGCTCAGCTCCTCCTGGCCAGACTGGAGAGTCTTGGGCTTTCCCAGTGCACTGGCCCAGCCAGAGGAAGTGGGGGAAGGAAGGAACCTGCTGGCCAGGCTTTTAGTGAGCTCAGTGCTCTGACCAAGGGCTGGTTCTCAGCACCGCACTGGGAGTGGGCGCGTCCTACCGGAGTGAATAAGGAGGAGCAGTGAGGCTGGGTGGGGTGAGGGGGCAGAGGACAGTGAGGGGAGGAATGTAAAGGTGCTATGGGTGGGCAGCAGACCCACCTCATCATCAGCCACTCACCTCCCCACACACAATGCTACTGGGCGGGTGGCTGGTGAGCAGGGATCTGGCCAGCAGCAGGACCTGCCCAGTACTTATGGGGAGAGGTGAGGTAGAAAATATGGGACCATTTGCTTGTTTTTCAGAAAAAGTAGGGACACCGGCATGAGGGCTTAAATACAGGACTGTCCCTTTAAAAATGGAACATTTGGTCACCCTAATGATTTGTGTATGTGACTACAGGCATGTACAGGCCCACTGAAGGGGAGGAAGGGGGGCAAAGAGGGCAGTTACCCCGGGTTCCAGAAATTCAAAAGGCTCTGGGGCTATTGGCTGCAGCAGGAGTGGCAGTGACTGGAGCCCTGGGCCATTTAAATCATGGCTGGAGCCCCACCCAGTGCACTTGGACCAGCTCTGAGGGCTGGCTGGGGATCAGGGAAGCAGGGAGCAGCGTGTTCCGGGCAACACTGAGAGCTGGCGAGGGAAATGAGCAAGAAGGAGTATGCATCCCCCTGGATCACTACTGGCCTTTCATATCGCCAAAGGTCATCTGCCTGCTTGGAGAATGTGTCTCTGCTTGCAACTTCTCGAACAGCCCTGAATTCTTAAAACTGCAAGTGTCGCACAACTTCCTTGACCAGCCAAAGTCAATAGCAACGAAGTATCCCTGGTGATCCACCACCACTTGTATAACCACATAGTCCTTTCTGTTCATTTACACGTTGACAAAGGACTGATGTCAAATAGGGATGTACAGCTCATGTATCGCTCTACTGTCATTTAGAAACCACTTAGCCACAAAGCCATCCATTTTGTCCTGCACATCACAGAGAATCAGTCCTGCATCATAGGCTATGATTCACGGCCATGCACAGTTGCATGACAATAGCTCCCAAAGTGGATTTTCCAACTCTAAAATAAGTTTCCATTGAATGGAAGCAATGCAATATTGGAAGCTTCTACTGTATAATCACCACTTACTTCACGTCTGTGAGTGCAG